TAAACCCCCCCCCCCCCCCATTCTTTTTTTTTTACTTCATTAAGCTAACGAGCTTCGAAAAAGGTCAAGGAAAATGCATCTGACGAATTTTACATACTGTCAACTTACGGCAACTTTCTTGCACATTTACGAGCGGCAACCGCTCTTGCTGACCGTGCTGGCCATGAGCTCACAAGAGTCTACGGCAAAGCAAGCAGCCTGAGCGACAAGAATGCAGTCACCGCCGAAGACCGGGGTGAAGTGGCCGAATGGGTTGCCAGCATCAAGGTGGTTGCAACTGACGTTGGCTTGCGAGTCACGTCTGGCGTCTTTGAGGCGACGGGCGCCAGAGCAACCGCAAGCAAAGTCGGCTTGGACAGATTCTGGAGGGACATCAGAACACATACACTCCATGACCCGGTGGCATATAAGAACAGGGAGCTTGGCCGGTACCTTCTTTTGGGTGAGCATCCGACTCCAACTTGGTATACTTGATGGTTGGCTGTAACAGGAAGTTCTGCGCATAATCAAGAAAGTTGCGGTATACCCGCAGGGGGCCCAATAATACTCATTACTCGATGAGTACTTGGGTCGGTGACGACCAGCCGATGCCTGATGTTGTTTTGCTTATTTTATTGCTTTGCTTAAATTTCAATCCTAGAAGAATATAATATTAAATAAAGCTGATATCTTTCACATACGGCCACAGCCGCTAGCAGAGCTCGGGATCCCGTCCGATCTCCCATGAGAACCTAGTGAGCGCTAGATTAGTAGCTAGGTCGGTGACGACTAGCGAATACCTGGTGTTGTATGTCAATTCTTTTTTAATGTTTTAACAATTTTTTTTTTTTTTCACTTGCTAAATTTTCTGCGGTTGACAATCTATCAAAACAATCAAATCAGCTGGTACGTTTTGCCCTCTTGTTGGCGACGAGTATGTTTTTCGAGCCAAGCCATGGTCCTGAGTCCTGACTGAGCGCAGTTCTACGGTGTCTGAGGCGACGTCAACGGAGGAAACTTGACTGGCGAGGCATCGATTTCCCTGGCCAAGTTGTGCTACTCCAATGAAGGTCTCAGCGGCAACAAGGGCCACGATGCCAAGGATACCTTATACATTCGAATCCCCGGTGACAAGGCCGTCATTGCCAAGGACGGTGCGGACTGGCGGGCGTGCAGCACCCTGAGCTTCATGGATAGCATCGAGGCTTTGGGCGATGAGCTTGTCGCAGGGTTGCCGGGACAAGTTGGATGTATCCGACTCAACTTCACAGGGTGATTATCATAACCCAGAGTACCATTCTAAAACCGCCACCACATAACAATTACCTAAGGGAAGAAGAGCAGTAGCTACCGTGGTAAAGAAGGAAGCGCCGAAGATACCGAGATTCCCAACATGAAGTTCTACGAAGATGCGGTCCAGCATTTGTTGTTGCCTGTGTCATCGGGATGGGGCAGGCACAAATGGCAAATATGAACACAGCTGATCGACGAGCTTTGCTCGACGTCATTGTTAAAGAGAGATCGTCTGCCGCGTTTTTGAGCCTGAAAACTCTGGTGCCAGATTCGCTGAAGGAGTTGCCTCAGAACCCCCCCGAGAGAGGGCCAGGTGAATACTCCAGGTTTAAGATGGCGATATTGGACCGCATATCCGTACTCTTTCCTCCGTATCTTTGTGACGCCCTGAACGAAGGAACGATCCGAGTGTGGGAAATGACGAAGTGTCCAGAGCTTCTCGCTACGGAGAGCATAAAGACCGAGATAACTTGGACGAGTAATTACGATGGGAGATGGGAGTTGTGTTCTTAGATGTTGGCTTTGCTGAGGAAATTGCAGCTGTACTTTTCCCACCAGAAACGAGAACAGCGGTCAGTTCATACTGTAAGTGGACAAGTAGATCCCATTAGGAATCATCTCTCATTTGAAACAAGGTCAAGTCTACTCTGTGCTTAAAGGAGCTTTGATGCCAGGCATACTCTCTCTTTTTGGCCAGGACATTTTCGATGCGGTTGACAAGAGCATACTTCGGGAGTGGGAGAAGGCGAACGGGGAATTCGATCTCACTGGTTGTGTAGAGATGATACTCCGTGACGAAGACTCTCGACATGCTATTCTCAAGCTTCCAGTTAGCTGGAAGTCATGCGTAGGGATAGTAAAGTCTTTGTACGAATGATGTCGGACAAGTAGTGCTACAGTATTCACACACCAAGACGAAGTTCCTTTGGGGGTTGTCCCCGCTACAGGATGTCTCGGACAACAAATAATGAAGCCCTAGGTCAAACCAAAGCCTCTGGCTCTTAGAATATCTGAAGTAGCCTTTCCTAGCATCTTGTTCATCCCCTGCGTTCCAGCCGACTGGAACCTTTGCGGCGTTTAGGCACGACTAGGAACATACCTTTCGGTGACCTCCCACTGCAACTCGTCTGCGGCCAGAATTGCGAGCCTGACATGTGACGTTGGGCAGCAATGACTGTAAAGACAGCTGTTGAATAAAGAGCCCTAGATTGGCGCGCCTGCGCCGCATCATACCGGCGAAACCCGGTACTACACTACCATTATACAACTTTTGGGTCCTTTTCGGCGTTCTTTCCAGTAAAGCCAGTGTCTAAGCCCGAGAGCTTCAAGGCAATGCCCGTCAGCTTATCTTACCATCCTCTTTACTTGGCGTCGTTCATGAACTTGGAGAAGTCGTTAAAGATGGAGGAATTTATTCCCAGTAATACGGCACCTCTTCAACCTCCTCGCTTCATATAGTTCTGCCGCATTCGCCTTGATCCACGACCGTATACGAGACCTCCTCTGCGTGCCTTGCTCAGATTCATCCCCTCCCGATTCCTCAGTACACCAGTCCTCGCAACAATGTGACCGTAAGCGCCATTTGAGTTCAGGCAAAGTGGTACATATTCAAGCAATTTTGTTGGTATTGTCTGTAATCTACAAGAAACGCCAAGACTAAACCGGCTCGGGTGCCTAACTACTGCGTTATATCCTCGCGAAGTGCGCTGACTAGTCTGCCTCAACTTCGTGAAGGATATCCCTCATCCAACGATACAACTCGGAATTCGGCGTCTTCCACCTCAGTCCGTGTGGAAATACCTTCCGTCTCAATCGATTGACTCTTCTAATCAACGGTTGATAATATTCAGTGAAGTTTTCCTTCGCAGTTCTAAGGAAATCTTCCTCCTCGACAACAATCCCTTTTTTCAAACCGGCAACCCGCTCTGTATTGTCATAGTTCCACGCGTCAAATTCTTCAACAACTCGTTCCTTTTGAGGCCCATTGTAGTGGACACATATCCAAAACAGTACCCAGAAGAACGATTCAAGGTCGTGCATAAAAGAATGCTGTTCACCAAGTAACACCCCTATAGCCATGAACGCTCTCGTGCCTGTTTTCCCTTTAGCCCCTGACGCGACTTCCCGGTCTAGCCTAACGGCGAGGTCAAGGTCGATCAAGAAAGCCGGCCATGAAGGGTTTGCCTGGTCCTCATTTACCCTAAGATTATTGATGGAGATGTCTCTGTGGAGGAAGCCAGCCTTGCGTAAGGAATCATGACCTTCAATGCAGCTCGCGAGCGCATTAAGCAGGGCTGAGTGGGAGCTTGCCTTGTAGATCGGTTCCCCATAGTCTTGAAGAATGACGCGTCGATGTATCCGATTTAATGATACGTCTAGGCTGGGTTCTATTAGGGACGCTGAACAGGATCGTTTGCTTGGAGGCATAGCGGCGTCCGTTTCGCTTGATAGTCGTTTCACCCCCGAACTACTACTACTACGCCCTTTGCGTGATATTCTAGACATAGTTCCGCCCACGTTCGATAGTGATGTTCGTTTTGGCTCGGAACTCGTAGCTTTGGTGACGTTTAGCCCTTTTCGGACATTATTTTGAATATCATCATCTATACGGCGGATACGAACAGTCTCATGGTGGTAATATCGGGCAACGTTAGTAACGCCTTTCTCAGTTGCTTTCTGGAGCAGTTCGCCCTCTTCGTCCCGGTCAACGTACTGCCACGAGTCCTTAATAACAAGTGGATGACGTGGATTATCGTTGTGATGAGCTTTCCAACACGTTGTCGCTCGGCCTGCAATGCATCGTGCGCGCTGTATAACCTCGTCGATAATAAGACATTCTATCTGGCCGTTTCGTTCGATCTTAATATATTTCTGGCCGCCGGTTGTTATTATAGTAGGATCAAATCCAAGCATCTCCTCGTTCATTCGTAGAAACCCTAGAATTGTGGCCACAAATTGTAGCCCACCTTCCTCGTCATTGATATCGAATTGTTCGGAGGCGATCCCCCCAAGCCTGTCAAACTCCCATACCCTCATAAGAGACCCACATAGAGTAAATCCTAAGACGAAGCGACGTGTATCTTGAGCAGCGAGCACCTCTCTTGCATACCTTGCAACATCAGCCCATGCAGCCGATGCTGTGTCGTCATTTGGGTTACTTTTTAGTTCGCCGACAACGAGGACGTGTGCCCAGTGATATCTTGAATTCGTAGTATGAGGTTGATATATAACGTCGTTGTCCACAAAGCCGATATCCATCTTACGCTTGCCTATAGAGCCTTCTATTGGTGTCTGTGGCTGGGCTAACAGCCTTCGTCTCGCTAGAGTCGGAATACGGTAGTCTGTAAATGCTTCCAGCTGCGGGATCAAGCCGCCAATCCAAGTCAGCACGTCGCTCTCTTTAGCGCCCGCTGGCCATCCACTCCAACCCTCCTTGAAAAGTGGACTGTTGCCTTCGGTACACTTGCGAAAGACCGCCTCAGAAACCACGTTAAGTTCTGGGATATCCCCAAAAAAGGACTCATGGAAATTCGGAAGTCCCACTTGTAAACGTTCAAGTTCCAGTTTAAGGACTGGATCTATATTCTTGCGGCATTCTGACGAGTTCACGAGACTGCTCGTAGTTTGTTTTAGTGGGGTTTGTTGAAGGAAAGATGCTATCGGTCGGGGAGAAGGGGTGGATTCGGCGGCTGCGGCAGATATAAAGTCCCAGATCTGTGCATCTTGAGTATTATCGGAGATTGCTATCTCGAGAAGTGGCTTGATACGGTCAAAGTCAAAGCTATCCGAGTTGATGGCATTAATAAGCCAGCGAAGGTCTGAGCGGAGTGTGGTACTCCTAGGTGCTGAATGACGCGAACCCGAGTCTAGAAGATTTCGTAAAGATTGTAAAAGCACGAGTGCAAGAACAGAGAGTTCTGTTTATATTATTAGAACCACATGGATATTAGCGAGTTATCATATCACCTTTGGAATCAAGCTGATGGAGTGTGTCTGCGGTAGACGTGAGATTTCTGCTCGTGCAAGTCGAGGTAAACAAGACGCGAAAGGGATCAAATGCATTTCCTATTGGATTTGCATTGATGAGCTCTAATCTCGACTGATCTGACATGATGAGGTAGCACGCCGCGTAGTGCCACGGTATACGGTATACGTGATCGGGGTGCAAAGCGTGTTGTTACGGCCACCTAATATTTGTCACACGAAAGCGGGCATCACTTGCTAGATAGCACACAAAATGATAGTAAGAAGTGAGAGAATTGTGTGCGCCCCTTAAAAAGGGGCGCTCGGCTCCACGAATGCTGTGCGCGTTTTCTAATTTCCGTGCGCATTACGTGGCCAGATGCCCAATACAGCTAGTGGGCTTGTTGTGTCGTGCAACGCGGAACAACCAAAATACCGAGAGCGAGTCACAGGAAGTCGGTGCAGAGCCAAATGGATACTCCTGTCATATGATTGGTTTGCGGCTAGCTGTGGGGCGCAGCTTGGGGAGGCAAAAGTTAAGACAGGAGGAAAAAAAATGTATGAAGCCACCTATTGTTGGTCCTTGTTCGTTTGGATGTGAAGGGTCCTCGTCGCCTCGCCTCTGTCATAACGGAAGCTGAGTTAGCTTCATCAGAACCGCCTGCATAAATAGTTTTGGGGGCCGTATCGTCGAGGCTATCCCGGGCTGATACATCAGTTCTCCCTGGTTGGTGTGCGATTGGAAGGAGTGCTCTCTGTGTTTGAGACTCGATTTGACCTAAGACGCTCAAACCGGAAGCGCCTGCTATCCAGAATGTCTCCTCGTTCCTGTGGTGGCCCTAGTGTGGCCGCCCGCCCCACAGTACCTGAGGTAACCATAGCAGCAGCTGGAAAGGCAAACCACGCCGTTTAAACTCTGCCCACCGCAAGTGAAACATTTTCGCCAGCTCTTGAGTAGCCAAGAACACACATGCAGTTACGCAAACCAGTTAATTCCTGGACTTTAGGTAACTCATTAACTATTCGATGGCAAAGTGGTATGTCGGGTCGTAGACCGCATGGCAACCGGTTGGTCATCCCCCTTTGATAATTATATCAAATTGCTCATGCAACCGATACATTGTGCAGCCTAAGGTCGGAGCCGTAAGGTGCGGCTGAGTGTTCCACTTGGGCGGATGTGCCTGTCGAGATTCTTGGGCGGCGCCCGAGGTATCCAGGTTGCTGAGTTCGGGGCATCAATGCACAACCGCATCTGCGCAACATTAACATCGTCCCAACGATAATATGGAATAGTCCTGCGGAGCATGATTAAAAGCATTTAATATTAGAATTCCCAACCCCTAAAGCTGCAAAATCCATCCACAGTTGTAGTATTTTTAACGACGAGACGTTACAGTCAATGCTTAGAAGCATGGGAGATGAAATGAAATGCAATAAGCAGGCACACATTGTTTAGAGTACATGAACGATAAATTTCGAAGCAGCGCATTCCTTGGCGATTGCGAGCACCGTTACGATAACGGCTCTACGACCCTCCTGCCGCGAAGACTTCGAGATCACGATTATTTGCGCTTTACCACTCGAGTATAATGCGGTAGCCCTTCTCTTTGACGAGTTCTGGGACGAAGATGGAGACCAATTTGGGAGAGCAGCCAGTGACGATAATGCCTATAAGACTGGTCGCCTTGGCAAGCATAGCGTCTGGTGGTACTAGCGCTGCTGCCTGGCAAAGTCAGGGCTGCTGCCGCAGCCGCCAGCATGCGATGGAGCTACTACAGTGGGTTCGCAGTAATTCCGAAAAACGCCCGCTTTTACACCAAAACTTACACTTTTTAAAAGCTTATAATTCTATTAAATAATATATTAAAAATGTAAATTCTTCTATAAACATATAATTAAATACTTATTAATTATAAATATTATTTTTATAATATTTATAAATATATAAATATAACCTAATATAAAGATAAGTACCTTATTTATTTATTTAAGTACCCTAGAGCTATTTTAAGCTATTCTAGTACTTTTACATGTAGTTTAAGTGAGAAAACCCTTTATATAAAAAGAAAAATCCTCTTACTTTTATTTTAAGTTATTCTCGCCTTATTATAACCTATAATTATATAAGACGTATTTTAAATTATATAAGTTAAAGGTATTTATCAAGCTAGCTATTTTAATAATAGTTTATTCAAGCGTATATAATTAGAGCATTAACTGTAGTGTAGTTTTATAGTTTTGTAGTTTTTATAGTTTCGAATATAAAAGATTATATTAAATCTAATAAAATACTTATAGAATTATAAGTTTTACGAATAAGTAGCATAAATCTAAAATTATAAGCTTATAATAAAAAAAGTGGGTCCTTATATACTCTTATAAGCTTAAAACTTCAAAAACTACATTTTATGTAAGGTGGTTGGGGGACCCCGCCCACCTGCAACGCGATTGACAACGTCACGTGGAACGGGGGCTTCGGGACCATATCCCCTGCATCTCGCACAACTAGAAAATAGGATAAGCTTTAGTTATTACAATACAGCTACCCCTACTTTGGCTACCTGACTTCCAGTCCCTCTTACATTTTATAGTTTTTATAGTATAGTATAGTAATAATAGTATAGTATATTTTTAGAAAAGTACATAATCTAGTTTTTAAGCTTATAATACGCTAGCAGGACCCACTTTTACTTTAATAGTAGTTTATTAAAGCGTATATAATAAAGGTTTAAGCTAAGTTTAAGTTAACTTTAATACGTTAATTAGGTAATTATTCTAATATTTAAGTGTTTCAAGCTATTACGTAGTTTTCTTTAAGTGTTATATTATATTATATTATTTTAAGCTTAACGTAATATTATATCTTAAATATTCTTAGTATAATTAATATATTATAATAAACTGCCTTTATAGCGTAGTGGTTAAACGCTATAAAGCCCTGCCTTAGTATAGTAGGGAGCTAGTTTAAACCTAGTTAAAGGCACTTAAATTTTTAGCTTAATTACCTAGAAATTTAGTTAACCCGTGATTTTAATCACGTGATTTTAGGGGTAAAATTAAGCTAAGCCCACCTAAAAAACTAGCTAATAAGCTTAAAGCTTTAAGGTAAAGGAAAATTAAGCTAACACGTATTATAGCTATAATATAATATACCGTAAAAAAATTAAAATAATAGGTTAAGAATAAGTGAAAGTAAATAATTAATACTTATAACCTATACGAGAAGAAATACAGCTTATATTATATTAAGGTATAAGGTAAGAAAGGCTTTATTAATATAAGTAGATTTTTCTTTCTTTAAGGGTTTTTCTACTTAAAATACGGGTTAATATACTAGAATAGCTTTAAAAGAGCTCTAGTATACTTAATATAATACAATACTATTATAATAAACTTTACTTTATTTTTACTTTTAAGGCTACTTAATTAAGCTTAATTAACTATTATTAGCTATTTAAAGCTTATTATAGCTTTTATAAGAGCTTTAAATTAAACTATTAATTTTTCTAAGCGTATTTTAAATTATATAAGTTAATAGTATTTACTAGGTTAGCTATTTTAATAGTAGTTTATTAAAGCGTGTATAATAAAGGTTTAAGCTAAGTTTAAGTTAACTTTAATACGTTAATTAAATAGCTATTCTAGTATTTAAGTATTTAAAGCTATTACGTAGTTTTCTCTAAGTATTATATTATACTACACTATTCTAGGCCTAGTATAACGCTATATTCTAAATAATATTAAAGTATTAAATAAAGTTAA